CAAAGCAACTTGAGACTTAACGTGCAAGATCTGTAAAGTAGCCATTATGTGGTTGTACTTCTACCTGTGCTTACAGGAATTTCTGTGGTTATGGTTTTAATATCAGCCAGGTGTTGGTGGAATTCAGATTTTAGTTTTATACCTTGGCAGGACAGAATAATTCAACTGTGTTGTAGATAAATTGATAATGAAGCCAAGAGTAATTTGTGAAATTCAGTTCTAGAGCTGGGATGGGATAAAAATGCTCTGGTTTAGATGTGCTTGTGGTTTGGATGAACATCTCGCAATCAGTTTTTGTCTTTTTGTGACTCTAGTTTTAGGTACTAAACTGTAAACATCACAATATCTAGTCTTCTTACTTAAGAAGTTTGCTGTATGCCTCAGTACTAGATACAAGATCTTTAGCAGGACTTCATGTGAGGAACAGTTAAACAAAAGCTTGTATAAATAAGGCACTAGTAAATGTTTGCAGCAAACAACAATTACAGTCTATATTCTTTAAGAATAAAACTGTTCTATTTAGGAAATGCCTTTAATATGACAATTACCAATGCCAGTTAGAAGGGGACTAGAGAAAGTGCATCTTTTGGATTATGCCTGTGAAGTCTGCAAGAAACCACTGAATGCAAATCTCCATCAAGTTTGGAAACAGCCTGTGCAATGGTGATACTCAGGAGAACTGAAGCAAGAGGAAACTAGTTTAGATTCTGATCCCTGCTAAACTAGTGTGAAATCACTGTAATGGATTTGCTCCAGATTTATTACAGTGGTAGAAGGATCTGAAGCCAGAATCGAGGCTGTTGTGGCAAATCTAGTTAAGCAGTAACAGCACTGACACAAACAAAGTAATTGGCTATAATCCTCTTAAAAAGTTTCAAAAAAGAATCTGATATATTAAATTTCCTATTTGCTGAAGTCCAAGGATGCACTTTGTCTTTTGGCTAATGTAATAGAACAAAATTTTCTGTACTTCTTTGGAGGTGATGCCATTCTAAACAGTTACTAAAGTATCAATCCATATTTTATATCAAATGAAATTCGAGTCTGCCAGTCTGCTTGTAAGATGGCTAATGGGTATTTCACATTAAAAGTTGTTCAAAAACACCCAAACTCTTCCATTACTAAAACCAAAACATACTACCACTTTTATGTATCATCTCTTTGAGGGGGGTCATTGAAGCACCAAGAATTTGTTTATCAAGCCAATAAGAATGCATTTGTAAATTAATGGATCTTGTTAGTATTCATGATTGTATTTCTCCAGGATCTCTCCACCTGAACCATTCATTTGGTATACTAAATCAATCAGGGGTAACTCCACAGCCTGATTTCATTACTAAATCCTGCTTTGTAAACATATAGCTTAGCTTTATCATCTGACAAATTTCTGTTCCACTAAGATCCTCCATTATTTATACAAGATGTCATTTAAAAAACTTAACACATTTCCAGTATTCATAATGCAAGAGGGGAAAAAACCCTACATTGATTCATTCTTGTATATTATTGCCATTAGGTGCTACGATTAACAACTCCAGACAGTGGGGTTTTTTGTTTGCTTAAATTATTTTCTGTTTTATGTAAAGATGTTGTACTAAGTTTATATGAAGCTTTAAAATCACCCATCCATGGGCATCTCAGAAACTGTACAACTATCTCAACTGGATTTTAAAAATGTGGTGGGCTTTTTGATTGTTCATTTTGTTTTGTTTTTTTCATGTTTGACTCATAAGACTAAATTTATTGGTGGTATAACTTGGCTGAAATTTTCACCATAAATTAATCTAGACTAATATTAATTCCTTAAACAAATAAAAAACCCCAGAACAAGTAAGTTAAGTGCTGAGGATCTCTCTCCCACACTTGCTATGCATACTCTTAAGTTATATACAGAAGGAAGAAAATCCAGAAATTTCTCTTCACAAAGATCTTTCCTCATAGCAACTCAGGAAAACTTTTTCATTTAAAATATTTCTTTCTTATAAGAATGCCAGAATATACACTTTTCTAGGTGTGTTAGACTAATACATGGCATGTGTTTATCTGAATACCAGAAAATGTTATTGTGTATTACAGCTGTGCAAAATATTTTCTGTAAAAGTTGACAACTTCAAAAATTTTTTTTTTTATCATTATTTTCAATAAGATTATGTAAATCTTTGTGATTGCAAAAGAAACAAACATTCTTTGTCAAAAGTGTGCCTTTTGAGGTCATAATTAGTTTTGTGGGGTGTCTCCAGCTGACAATCTGAATTTGCATATGTTGCCTGATTAGAATTTCCTAAGCTGTGCTCGCTATAAAATAAATTTGAATTTTTTACCTTGTAAGTAAAACCTATATTTTGAAAATCAAGGTAGATTTTTAACTACTTCTTAAAATTAAAATAATACATTGGAACATGGTTGGTTTTTCTTCTCTTTTTGCCCACTGCTTTCAAGCTGTGCTTTCAGTAGGTGAGAAAGAAAAGTTGTCATTTTGGAAAAGGTTCTGTGAATATTTAACAAAATGCAGAATGCAGTTTGCTTTCATAGTTGTATTTCTTCAATGGAAGCAGAATGAACATTTTTATGCTGAAATTATGATATTACATCTCTGAGTGGAGAAAAATCTGTTGTCAAACATTTATGTGTATTTCTTTAAAGAGCAAAGTCACACTTTTACAGAACTTTTCAGTTGCTTTTTGGTGCGAGTTGTGATTGTAGAGGCACACTATTGACATCAACTGAAACTGTGGCCTAAATGAAGGCATCATTTTTCTGTCCACGCAGATGTATTTATCTATATGGATGATATTTTAACAAAAAAAGCCACTTCAAAAATTTTATTTTTTTTTAACTAAAAGTTAGAAGACACTTCCAGGTGTAAAAATCAAACAAAATTTCTATATGATCATTTAACAACAATTATTGCGTGATTTTGCATAAGCCTTGACCTTTCTAAAAAATGCAGTATTTGATCTTTAGATGTGCATTGGTTTGATAATAAGTCATCACACAACTGCTGACTCACATTTTAATTTAGGGAAGAAATTTTCTTGAGATTACAAAAAAATAAAAAAAAAAAACAGTCCTAGGTCTTTGCTATTAATCCAGAGATTTTAATTTTTAGATGAAATGCATGTAATCGGAAATAACTATTATGCTGAAAGGAATCCACATTATTTTGATACAAAATCCATTTATCTGAGAGGCTTTAGGGAATGTAACAAATTTGATCAGGCCAATCCCAATCCCTCAAAACCTTCTCATTCTGTTAGGAGATGAATGAATTACCAGTCCTAACTCTAATGTGTTTTAAGGCTAGTTAGAAGACATGGAATAGTGATACTCAAACTAAATGCTTGAGACTAGGAAGTATTTGCATGACTAGGTAGTTATTTAAAAGGAATGATTTAAATGGGTGAAAATTTGCTTATTCCTTTATATTTTCTAATACAGTAAACCTACCATCTATTTGTATGTCAATAATAACTGATCTTAGAATGCCATTTCATAGCTTGAATCTTCATTTTGCCTCAAGGTTTGTTCTAGCCAGGTTGGCAATTAGGGAAAGTCCTAAAACAGAAACATTGATACATGCTGTTAAATTCAAATGCAGAACATTAAAATTAACATGGAAGCGGAAATGACATTCAGTGTCAGAAGTAACAAATTTGAACGTCTTAAATAATTCAATATAGAGAATATAGTTTAGACAGTTTTAATATAAGTGTGCTTTTTCCTAAAAACACCCCCCCGACCAAACTTTTTTTTTTTGCTTTTTAAGTCTTTTGTCTGTAAATATGAAAGAAGGCTACACCCCAACGTAATTCTTCATTGCCATACTAAACAGTAAAATAGTCTTTCTAATTCACATTGCTCATGGCAGTCTTATTTGAAGTTCCTTTATTAAGTTTGCGATTAAAGCAGTTTGGGATTTTTGTTGGTTGTAAACTTTTGGCATAATGTGAATACCAGTCCCTTTCAAAAACAGCCTTGAGTTGCTTAATGATGCTTGTGCTGTTCCCCGCGTCTGCTTGGTTGATAACAAGGCCAGCTCCAGCATTCTGCGTGAAAGCATTTCCTACCCAATCAAAATTACCTACAAGTAAAGGCAGGAATATACAATGAGTTTCTAACATTGAAAACAAAGAACCAAACAAAAAATCCCATCTCCCTAAAGGCAATCCAGCATGAAACACTATCAGTTCCCCAGGGCAGAGACAGAAATGAGCTTTTTATACTAACAGGAAAGAAAAAACTCCATTACAATACCTTGCATAGTGAAGGTTGTTTCTGGAAGTTTAACAGCCTTCATAAGAGAAAAGCCTTCGTAAGAGAAAACAGGTTCTTCTATTTATTCAAAACTAATTTGTTCTTCTTTTTGCATATATTGTATTATTACTCCATTTACTTTCCTCATCAGCCTTTTCAGTGCCAAGAATGAATTTTTTTTTTGCTGTATAAACAATTTAAAGTTCCAAACCAATAGATCTTTTACAGGTTACCCACTGATAGATACTATTTCAGGAAAGAAAAATAGGAGTTACATTTTTATGTCAGTTATTACCACCTGTGTTGAAATCTAAGGTAACAAATGAACACTTCAAATCCTGGTGATAGCAAGGCAAAGAGGATAATTTGACTAATGGAAAACTAACTGTTGCAGTTACTTCTTTTTATTTCACTAGAACTGTAAGTATTTTAAATTATATATGTAAAACACATGCAGTATTTTGGAGAAACAATGCTGTTAACTAGAGATCATATTTTAAAATAGTGTCTGAGCATACATAAAACATGAAGGTATCTGAGAAATTTATACCCTTTTTTCAGCATTATTTCAGCTACTTCAGCAGAAAATGCTAAGAATTCTAAAGTTGTCAAGGATGGTAAATTGAAGCCTCATTATAAGAGATTTTTTTTCTGTGATTTCAAGTAAAAGATATATCAGGTTCTTAGCATGCATTTGTACTACTTTCACAAAGATTTGATAATTCCTTTTTTTTATTTATCTGCAGCTAAGAATGCAAGGACAACGGGAAAGAAAAAACCCAATTTGGCTAAGAATTCATGTTGTGTAGATGAGTTCCAAGGTACAGAGATTTGATCTGTCTGTGTGAAGGGATTTAAAATGGAGTGGAAAAATAATGTTGGGGGGGGCTCATAAAACCTTTGGGAGATGAGAGAGGAATGAGCTACAGTATTTGCAGTCAAAATTAAGATTTGGATAGGTTAAAATAGGTGTATGTGTTTAAAGCCCATCAAGGTGGGCTTTCCAGAGTAGATTTTAGTTGTATCTCTATACAACTTGCTGGTGTGTGCATGGGCCGTGCTTCTGGGTTGCAGCCTTTGCCCTTCCCCACTGCCTCTGCCATCATGGGCTATGAGACCTTTGCAGTGAGTCAGTAAGTAAGATCCCTAAAGCATCAAGCTGCAGCATATCAGAATGCATGTTTTCTCTCCTGGCTTTTTAAAATGTTATGAGTTGCTTTGTAATTCAGTCATGGTTTTCTCATCCTGTGAGCTTATGTACAACTCAGATTTTTTAAAAGGTAGTTTTCAGCCTGCATTCAGTGAGCATTTGACTGGTAACGAACTTTTACTGGGTGCCATACAGCAACTTTACTTAAATACACCTTTAGCCCAAAATACCAGTTACACGTGTACCTAATGTTAGGAGGGTGTCTGAAATGCCATTATAGGAAATGCAATAAGACTTCACAAGATGAGGATGAAAGGCATCTGTACAGTATTTACTAGGACTGACCACAGTAATAACATGGGAAATGGAGAACAGTCCATCTTCACTGGATTGCAGAAACAAGAGAATATGCTAATAATCCAAGTTGTTCCTGCTTCATAAATGGTGTTATATTTGTGTTTTCGGTCTGTTTTAAAATACTGAAAGCAGAATGTGTGTTTTGAGAAACTGATTCATAGGGGAAGAAAAGTTTTTAAATGGGAAGAGGCCTAAAGCTCAGTCTTCATCCAGGTTCCCAAAGGAATGATCTGTTAACAAATATATCAGCTGTGGATTGCTCATCTACAAAGGGGTGTTATTTCAGGCTTTTGGATACTAACTAGAATTTCTTGAGATGTGGTTACGTACCGATATATGCAGCTCCATCGGTCACCATATATTTGTTACGATTTAATTTGGGAAGGGAAGCGTTCTTCTGTTCTTTAAGAAAGCATGCACTCTCTTCCTCAAGGTCAAAGAATTTCTGCCATAAAATAGAATGGAGCACAGGTTAATGAGCATTGCTCTATAAGAGACAGAAAAAGCATGGCTTGTTCTCTAATTTTTACTGAAAATGAGTTAGTGCTACAGAACAGCTTGAGTTTTTATAGCCAACCGTTAATTTTATAAAACACTGCACACTGTATTTCTTAGTAAATTCTCACAGGTTATGATACTCTTGTCTTGGCAGTCTAAACTACAAAAAGTATATGGCTACTGCATGCCAAAAGAAATACAGAGCCAGGTAATAAAGGCAGTGAAATGAACAAAAAACCCCCATCTTTGTGTTCTGCATGGAGCCAGGAGCTTTTCTTTAGCTCGCTTCCTCATTTGTCAAAGGACATTGGGATTTGAAGTCTGCTTCAGGATCCAGATTGGCAGGCACAGCAATAGCTGAATTAATACCTCTACATCACACATTGCATAGTTTCCAACAGGAAACTTGCCCATTTCAGAAACTTAGAAGCTTCTCAGGATTAAATTTGATATGAAGAGATCAAATTTACCAGGCAACAAGAGGAAAATACATCTGTTTTACCCTGGAGGGTGAAGTCTGAGCAAAATTTATTTATTTATTTTTCATTTTGGAGCTATATGCATTCCTTTTCTGATCGGTAACAATATATAAGTAATGTTTATTTCAGCAAGAAAACTAATAGCTAAACCTAGATTCCAAAATCTGAAGTGGAGAATAATATGATGAAGGTTAAGGTAAATATTTACTGCCTGACTGGAAAACTTTGATTGAACTGATGGTGAGATCCTCAGAACAAACCTAATTCACAATAGATTACTGGTGAAAGTAACTGACTATACAGTGCACACACTTTAGGGTGGAAAAGAATCCATCTCAAAACTCCTTAATCATTCTTAGGGGTCTGTTTTCCACAATTCATCTCTTAAACCGGTGCTGGGTTTGATATAAACCTTGAACAAATCCTTTTAGGTTATGGAGATGTCTTTCAGAATAATCTTACTAATTTGGAAAACTCAGCTGTCCAACACCAAACTCATTATTGCAATGTAGTGGTCTCTGCAGTACACGACATCATCAGTTCAATTAACCCAAATGTGGGTGTACGCACTGCACACGGGTCCTCAGTTTTACAAAGCATTCTTTACCCAACTGATAATGTAGGTGGGTTTCAAGCTTGTTTGCAGTAAACTGCTTGACTATTGCAAAATGTGCTGTTACCAATTAACAGCAACACCGGGTTTACGTTTTATACCACTGGTTGCTTCAGAACTGCATATAAATACTCATTCAGAAAATCTTCTTAATCATGAGTCAAGATCATTACAGTTTGGTTTTCCTTGGAGAACTCTGTTCTAAGTTCTGACCAGATTTATCTGCAATTAGTACTACCAAAGCTGATTAAAATGATTTAGTTGCAGACAAAAGGTAGAGTAGCCCAGAGGCTGCTGTTTATCTAACACTTTGTGCTGTAGACTCCATCAGAATCTCTCTCTTCCCATTGGAAAATATACTGGGGTAAATTTTATATTGTCAGAGGTTGTACCAAAACTGCTTAGAAGGACTCTGTCTAAAATACCAAGACCAATCCAGGCTCCTGCTGATTTCAGCGCTACGGAGAGTCTCTGTGCTTGGGCTGACACACATCCCCCCTATCTGCCATGATGGAAGTTTATTAGGGCTTGTTGAGAAATATTAGTTGTTTTTTTTAATAAGTAAGTTTTAACTAAGTCAGAGTTATAATACTGTGTGATTTAGTATGCTGTTTGCTTAGCTTTACTTGTTTAGTATGAGTAGCTTAGCTAAGATCTGCTGAAGCCTTGGGTCGCAAACTGTGAACCTTCACCTAGATACATGCTTTTGGCTGGAATAGAGTTAATTTTCTTAGTAATTTTCCTGGTAGCTGGTACAGTGCTGTGTTTTGAATTTAGCAGGAGAATAATGCTGATAACACTGATGTCTTAGTTATTGCTAAGCAGAGCCTACTCTAAATCGAGGACTTTTCAGTTTCCTGTGCTCTGCCAACTAAGCTAGTGCACAAGAAGTATAAACTAGAAGATAAGGGGGCTGCAATTCCACAAGATAAGAAGAGTTAACAGCCTGCTTGCTTGGGCACAGAGAAAGAATCCAATAAGGCATTAGAAGACCCCAGACCAAAAATCACCATTGGACCAAGAGGCATGTGAACGGGTGCATAGTCTGTAAGGGTATCAAAGCCCAGGGATTCCCTTGTTTTGGGTCCCTCTCTGGCGGCACACGGCTTGAGGTGTTCCTATTGCTGTACCACTCAATTATTAAATTATTTTTTCCTGGAATCAGCTTTTGTGTGAGACTTTACTGAGGTAAACCTAGGGCAAAGAAATTTGTTTAACAGCACTGAAGCATGTTTTTAGCACATGAGAAATAAATCCAGTATTTTTTCAGAGCAGAAATACTGGATAGCAGTGGGATGCAGTTTTGTGACTGACAGCTATCACAGAGTTGTTACCTTAAAGTTTCTGAATTTTGTATGCCACTCCATGCTTACTTACCTGTACGTGGCATTGTTATGTTCCACACTTAATTTTTGTAATGAGTTCAAATACTAGCAAAATTCCAAAGATAGTGTTTTGAATTTAAAAACTAAGCACAGCAATGCAAACTGTTTGAGTGATTACTTTATAAAGGGCATTAAAAAAAAGATTATTCTATCTAAAAGTCTATTATCTTTTCTTTAAATTAGATTTATATTGTATATTCACAGCTAACTCAGCTGCATGGAGAAATCACACCTTTAATTACAGATTTTTATAATCAATAATAATTACAGCATCACACTTCTTAAAAGATTAGAACAAACCACCTTAGCAGCCATAAAGGAAAGTTTGCTAGATATTATGTCCTTTGACAGCATCCAGACTGCAACCGTGTGCCTGAGGAACTGCTCTACAAACATGCACCCACACTGAAAGTATGTACTTGGCAAGCCAGAAATGAGTCTAAATCTTTCTGAAAGGGTCTTAAATTTTTGGATAAAGACAGATGAAAATGGTCATGTTTTTTCCAGCACAACAAAATTGGAATGGAAACAGCCAGCAGCCATAGGGTATCCATCAGGGGTACTTGCAGTACCTCTTCACAGCGATGCAGATGATGCGGTGTGACTAATACTAACATCGCAGGGAATAGTCTAAAACAGGCAAATGGGCAAAGTATTCAATGCTAGGAAACAAAACATAACAAGCTGTCTTCTTGCCAGTATTATGAGACTTAGCAAAAAGTTACATACCTTGATGTAAAAATAGTCAAGCACAATAATAAAATAAGCTTAGAGGTGTCAATTGAGATAGATTGAGCAGATGTGCTGAACTGAGGTATCACACATTACTGTGTTGTTTGTATAATAACTTTGTAAGAGAGAAAATTTCAGGCAGGAAAGGACAGAAGCCTTGGAAACGTAATGTGTTCTCCAGCAATAGCAGAGAAGGCATTAACTCCTTGGGAATATGGACACCGTTAGGAAAACTCATCTGCCCTCACAAACAGAACACACAAATGTCACTTAGATGAGCAAGTGAACCAGCACTGGCATTAAGCAGCACAGTGTAACATTCTCCGACATGCCTTCAGCAAAAGTACTGTGTTAATAATACACTACCTACTGCTAACATTTCATTAATCTTTTCCATTCTTATTTTAGGAGTTCTGAGCTTTAAAATTAAATTACTGCTTAGGAGCAAAGGTTTCATAGTTAATTCATAACACTCTGTTTACTCATAGAGCATTTCTGTCTTTCTGAGAATTAGTGAAAGGTTCAGTTTTACCTTCCTCTTACCTGAGCGGGAATACACCTGCACAACTCAAAAATAGATTCATGTGGAGGCTCAAGAATAACTTGTGCTGTAGATACACATCTGTTCCATGCCACTCCATTGTGGCTTCCAGTTGTCTAAAGACATTTTGTTCTAGGTCCTACTTTCTGCGGGCCCTTCAAAAATACACTCTGTTCAGCATTGCATCCAACAGAGCCGGCCCCTTTCTACTGCTTCTTTGAGAGTTAGACTAGGCATTTGTGCACAGAAGATGCATTTATGGGTCAAGTGCACAAAACTTAAGGAGTACAGGAATTAAGGTCCCAAGAAGTATAACGGTGAGCTCTTCACCTTGAGCTTACCCTTTATCATTCAAGCTTTAATTTCATCACCACATGTGGTTCAGTGCATAGGACAGAGCTCCCTGACTGAGCAGCAGTTCGGTGTGCAGTTTATTCCTTGCCATTTGGCTGTGTGCTTATAGCATTTATTTAGTTCTCAAACATAGCTTTCTCCATGCAAGTTCTTCCCAGTGACCATTTTCTTCAGAGTACTTCTATTGAATTTGCACTCTCGAAACAGTTTCAGTTGACTCCAGTAATAATTAATGCTTATGTGAATTGGACTCTCAGATGCTGAGAAATGCATGAGGGACTTTAGCGTTTTCTAACTGCATTGACATTGTTGTCCAGTGTTATCAAAGTTTTGTGGCAAAAGGAAAAGAAAAAAATTCCTGCTTCTAGATAGAGCACATTGTTACAACTGTGTTCACAACTAGGAAACCATGCCTTGCAGTCCCTGTCATCCCTGACCTCCACGGCAGACTGGAAAATTCATACGCAGTGGATGGTGGCTGGCTTTGATCAGGACACTGCTAAGTGAAATTGGGTTGCAGTGCCCTGTTTCTAACTATGTACTTGCAGTTAGGCCATACCAAAACTTCTATTGGCCTGGTCAGAGACCACGTGAAATTAGGAAGTGATTCCCATCTAATAGAATTTACATCTGCATCGCCTTCTCTAAGATGACCGTTTACCTCAGGCTGCTGCCGTTGGCAAACCAGTGTACCCTGTAGCTGCAGACAGCCATTAGCACTCACTGGAAACTTTAAAACTGAACTGATCTTTCCATAGAGATTAAAAAAAAAAAAAAAAAAAAAACAGTCACAACAAGGCCTATCGCAGGGATCAAAAGCTAAATGAAAAAGTTACTGAGTATGCTTTGTAGGACAGGAGGTCATGTGGTGCATGTGTGTGACATTTTGGTAGAACAATACAGAGGTATTGGGACAGCTTAGCAATTTTAATTATAATTTCAATCAGAATTTATAACAAGTTTATCTTAAAATTTCAGTGATCTTGTACATAAACACATACATTGCATGTCTGCACGACAGTATTTTCTGTACAGAGTTTAGTTTGACTTTATGTTTTCTCATAGCCAAAGCAGAACCAAAAGGGAAAAGCAGAATTTTCCAGTAACGCAAGAGATTTAAGTTTAGTTTTACGTTGTTAGCCTATTCCTTCTCCTCCAT